AAAGGACTAGAGTTTTACAAGAAGTAAAGTTTTGCATATTTACAAGTATGTATACTACCCCATAAAATCGAAATTACAAATATTACTAAAGATATTTTCTTGTGCAAGTCCGGATCATTTGTGTGTCCGTCTACATTCGCTGGTGCAGCGATTTTTATATACTTCCAGGATTGTAATCTGATCGCAGGTACAACTTTTTCCTTACCGCAAGCTCAACATCAACGTAGCGCAGCCCACTTTTAGCGCAAGGCCTTTACAATATCGCACACCGTGTTCAAAAGAGTCACAACTCAAATAATACGTTTGTAAGAAAATGCGAAAAAACTATTTCTTAGCACATGGTAATCACATGGACAAGGGCGACTTTACCTTAGGTTTTTTTTTAAACAAATTATTAAAAAAAAAATTTCTGCAGCTTTTGCTGAAAGTTAAATAGAAGCTCTGTGCATAATTGCAAAAATTACAAACTTTGAGTTGTGACTCTTTTGAAGACGGTGTGCGATATACTGGTGTTTTGATGTAAGTTTTAATAAGTGGAAAAAGTCTAGTGTACTAACCGTTCATCTATAGAACACACAAAAAAGTACAAAATATTAAAATTAAATTTTAATTAAAAAACCAAATTTTAATAAAAAAACAAATGTAATTAAATTAGGATACTCAAGATCTACTTTTTAAATGTAACCAATATAATGATTAACAAGACTCATAAGAGAAAATAGAAGAAAACATTTCCAAAAATTTACATGTTTAAAAAACGAAATGTAATTAAATTACGATACTGAAGACATATTTTTTAAATGTAACCAATATTATGATTAAGAAGACTGATTGGAAAAAAGTACAAAACATTAAAATTAAATTTTAATTAAAAAAACCAAATGTAATTAAATTAGGATACTCAAGATCTAACTTTTCATGTAACCAATATAATGATTACCAAGACTGATTGGAGAAAATAGTAGAAAACTTTACTAAATAATTCAATGTAATTCAATTACGATTTTGAAGATGTAACTTTTAAATGTAACCAATATAATGATTAGCAAGACTGATTGGAAAAAATAGTAGAAAACATTACTAACAAATTGAAATTTGTAAAAAACCAAATATAATTCAATTCAAGATATTTAACATGTAATTTTTAAATGCAACATATATAATTTTTAATAGATTAATTTATATGCATTATATCAATAACATCATTACTATTTGTATATTTTTTCATATAGTCCCTTTGAATAAAGGATTTGCTTGAATTCCATTCATTTTGTTTAATATATACTGGAATTTCAATGCAACCATGGTTTATTTTGAATTTTGGGAATATTTGTCGATACGATTTTTCTTTGGTCAGAATTTTATGTGAATATTCATTTATTTCATTTTAATATCTATATGGCATGTTTATTATACCATAAAAAAGTTAATTCATTGTCTATTGTGTAGATTAGTGGAATCTGCCTCATATATTTAATTAAATTACAAAAAAAACCCCATTTCAGCACTACCACACTACCTTTTCACAAAAGGGGATAAAATGGTTACCCCATTTCTCTTTCCTTCTCAAATGCAACATTACAAAGTAGTCGATTGACACAAATGTCAATATTTATCCAACCTTGTATTATTGAATCATGTAAGAAGTTTCACTTCAAAAATATCACAAGCTTCAATTGTCGTGGCAACAGTGGCTTTTTATAAAAATCACCCAAGAATGATAGAATACAAGATTGCGCCAATGAGAGAGGATTTTTGAGCGTAATTTTTGCGTGACGTCATCTTGGTGCAATTGCGAGAGAAATGCCAAAACACATATAAAAATATGTAAACAATGCAGAAAAATGTGTTAATTTTATTATTACATGGCCCAATTTTGCAGGAATCAATAAATATACAAAGATTGATTAATTGGGAACACGTAGCAATAATTTTGGACATGTAGCCATTTAGATAAGTAAGATTTTTAGCTCGTGAAAAAATGGATGTATTAACAGTGTTTGCAATTTCATGTAGACCTAAAGGAAGGTGTGCAGCAAAGTGAATTTTTGGACTCGCCATTGTAAAAAGCCATGCATAGTGCATATGTATATTTGTGGACGGTAGCCAACCACCATAAACTCCACAGCTGTTGACTCCACAGCTTTTATTTGATGACTTTTGTATCATTTCCGAGAGGATGCATGAGTGTGGCTTCTTTGGAAATAAATATTCTATTACTACGTTTATACGTAAGCTATTTGCAAATAAAAATAATTTGCAAATACCTAACTCACTGTATATTCGATGGTGAAATTTTTTTTTTAATATTGCCTGATTATAAAAAAGCAATAATATGACCATCGAAAAAGAAAATAAAGCTAAAAATGGCAACGTCTTGATTATAAAAAGGCAATAAGATGACCATCGAAAAAGAAAATAAACCTAAGAATGGCGGCGCCTTGCGCTTATTTGCAAATAGTACCACTAATCAATACTTATTTGCGTGATTTAGTTATTTGCAAATAAAAAATTAACTCAGCGTTTCTACGGCAAATTTTACCATTTTGCAAATTGTTATTTGCCTATAATACGTGCGTATAAACGTAGTATATGTAAGTAAAACATAATTCAAGCTGAACTTTTAAATGTATAATAATTTGAGCACTGTTTTATATTAGGTACGTAACAGCGCGGTAAGATGCCGCTTGAATTAGCGCCTGGCGACCTTATCCACTGGTGCATTACCTCATACCAGCACTAAAAAGAATCAGGTACTAACAAAAATATATATACATATATGTATATGTACACATGCATTAGCTTTAATTTTGTTCTAACTACAATTTCCTCTGTTTTAATAGAAATATGTAAACCCAATACTTGCCTCAAGCATCTTTGTTTATCATAAAAAAAAATCATTTCGGACTGTGTGTTATTTTAAATATCTTCACTAGTAAAGTGCTTCGTGCACACATACATAGGTAGCTCGATTTGGTGTTTAATGCATCTCCTCGCCGGCAGAACTGCTTCCACTTTTTCGCCAGATTTGCGTCCTTAGGAAACGATAAAAAACTTATATCGCATGCTTTCCTTTTGTTTTCACTATTACACTTTGCCACAGCACACTTCATTTTGCCTTGTAGTGTAGGGTTGCCAGACGTACTGCTTTTGGGAGTAAACGTACTCCTTTTTATTGCAATGTACTCCCTTGTACTCCCAAAAAAATATATATGGAAATGTACTCCTTTATTAGCTTTGTACTTCTTTTGTACTCCTTTTTTCCAGCTGTTAATATTTTATCATATACAGGGTGTAAAATAATATCTGTTGCAGTTTTTTTTTAAATAAATTATCCTCAGATTTTACTTCAATTTTATTAATTTGTTTTTAAATTTCAACCTTCATTTGGGTTTACCGGAGAGAAAAGCGCAAGTAAAAAAAGTAGTTAATGTATAGTCTTTAAATTTAACCTTCATTTGGGTTTACCAGGGGGTTTGGGAGAAAAGTGCAAGTCTTTGTCGGTTACTTTATTACATATCTTCTGTAACCATAGGCTAATTTCCCCCATTTGGGTCCTTTATACTCCGTCTTTTGTCCAACAAAAGGCCTCATACTCAGCATTCGAAAAGACTCGAAAGTGGTGACTAGGAGGGCATTCATTCGACCAACCCTATACAGGTTTTTTTTTTATTTTTTTACACAAAATCTAAGATAAAATACACCTGAAAAAGGGGTTCGTGCCGCATGTACTTATCTCCCAAAGCTGGCAAATGCAAATCAGGATTAAAATTTTAAAACAAATTAATAAAATTAAAGTAAAATATTTACAAAGTTAACAAAAAAAAACACAAAATCTCTAAAGAACCCTTTTATTTTTCAAAAAACCTGTTCGACGGTTATTATTTTACGCGCTGGACGTTGCCATTCATATTGTGGCAAACACTACTTAGTAAGCAAAGTTAAGTGTGATAGTGAAAAGATGTAAGCATGGTCTTAGGGGCAGGGCGCTCGGGTATAAAAATCAGAAAAATATTAAATTAATTATAAGGCTTAAATTAAAAAAATGGCCACACATTCAGGAAGAGTCTGGAATTCTATTGTAGTTTTTAGATTTTTAGTTGGGGAAACTTTCCTATAAGGGCGGTCATTGAGAACCGAATTCTACGCAAAAATACTGTGGACGCAAGTGGAAATTGTGACTTTTGGCAATTTTTCTAAGGGGTCCCTGGGGAACCATAAGGGCTCTAGGTGGTCGGGAGTAACATTTTTGTCAATGGCGGTTCATGCCCTCTCCAAAAAGGTCGGAAAAGGTGCCACGTCCACTCCCCCTTCGATCACCGTCTCTTTAACAAGCGTCCCTATTGGAAAGCCAACCCATATAGTTATTTATTTTTCACATTTATTGTTGCTTTGAAAAAGATTTCTAAGATATCTTTGTTTGTTTGTACCTAATTAATGGTAATTTGTAACAATAAATTACACAAAAAATAAAAAATAAAATTGTACTCCTTTTTTATGTCATGTACTGCTTTTTTTCTATCGAAAATATAAATGTACTCCTTTCTCCGTTTCAAAATATGACAACCCTATTATAGTGTCTCAATAATTGTTTAAAACCACGCAGAAATATTAACGCACAAATATTAAAATTGATATTTGGTTTTTTCGTATGCTCAATCAACAATTGCACCAAGATGACGTCACGCACACAGCTCATTCTGTCAAAATCACAGAGTGGATTAGCAGTACCGCGATTGGCGCAATCTCTATTTCTCTCAATCGTGAAAATCACCAATATATTTGTCGGTTTCGCAGCGTTCCATTAGCAAATTTCAAGGTCATTGCGCACCCTGTATTGGTTGCAGTAGAAAATTGAAAGTTGGTATAGATATTCCAAATATCAAAAGGGAAAAGCTAAGTGGATGCCCCGTTTTCTAGGATGAATTTTTTTCCCCCCATACAAAAATTGGGACCACTTTAATCTACATAGATATATAATTAATTTTTTTGTAACTAACCTGCCGTCGTATTCGATAGAAAACGTTTCGTTTTGTCCAGTATGTAAGGCAGGTTATAACCATCTTTAGTGTATCTGTATAAAAAATAGATTGCAATGACGTTTAATGCGTTACCTTTCAAGAGTATTTATCCATATTTACAAAAATGTATGTACATATTGCAATGAAGAAAATAAATACTTACATTTCCGTGCGTTTGGTGCAGAAAAGATTTTTGAAATTACTATAAATGCAGAAAAGTGTAAAGGTTGGTAGACCTTGGCCTAAATAACGAGCAAATTTGATTTGATCCGCCTTGTTCAAGCCACTTTGGTTGAGTGAAAGAAATGGTCGATGATCCTGAATGTCGTATTCCTGTAAGAGAGATGACTATGAATTGATATTACAGTATACATTAAATCTTCTTTACTAAATATATATTACATAATCTGCGAAACTTTTTTTCCCCGTAAGTATGCAGAAATAGCTAGTTGTCTTTCTTGTTTTATTTTTCGGGCCAGACTTTTCTTAGGTGGCGGCCTAATCACTATCAGTTAAACTTCTGTAAAGATGTTTTTTATACTCGCACTAAATTTATATAATTCTTATAATTAGTGAGTGGGGCGCTAACATTTTCAAGAACTTAATAAAAGTCCATATTAATACTAAAACATTATTCTAAAACCTAGGGCCTGTTCGAGGTACGTAATAAAAGCGACATTACTGCCGCACTTTTCGTAGGTGGCGGCCTAATCACTATCAGTTAAAATTCTGTAATGATGTTTTTTTATAATAATAATAATAATAGACTGGCGCTTACACATATGTTAGTGTTTGGCCGAGCTTCTCCTCCGATTTGTGGCGTGCGCCTTGATGTTGTCACACAAAGCGAAGGGACCTACAGTTTTACGCCGACTCCGAACGGCGATTGTATTATTGTTGTATGTTTTTCATGGCAGAAATACACTCGGAGGTTTGCCATTGACTGCCGAGGGACGACCGCTGTTAAGAAAAAACCTTTTTTCTGTATTTTTTGCGATGTTGCTTTGACCAGGGTGTGAACCCAGGCGTTGCGGAGTGGAAGCGCGCACTGCTTACCACTACACCACACTAAATTTATATAATTCTTATAATTAGTAAGTGGTGCGCTAACATTTTTAAGAACTTAATAAAAATCCATATTAATACTAAAACATTATTCTAAAACCTAGGGCCTGTTCGAGGCACGTAATAAAAGCGACATTACTGCCACACTGCTGAAAATTTGCAACACTGTTGCAACTGCCCAAATGATAACACGTTGCTAGAAATTCACACCGAACATGATACTTTAATAATTCACGCAACACAGTGGTTGTGATTGCAACTCGAACAAGCCCCTAATTTCCTTTAATAAGTTACTGATCTACCGCTTTTTTGACCTTTTCAAAAATATCGTTACTTACATAGGAGGTGGGTGAGACATATTGTCATCTAATTCCCGCATTTTCAACGCCAACTTATCTTGCATCAATGGAACGCCCTGAAATTCATTGAGATATCTAAAGTTTTGTTCGAGTTATCGTGTGCACGGGAAAACCGACGGACGGACAGATCGACAGATAGAAATGGTTTAATCGATTGTTCTTTTCATTCTCAACGTTTTTGTATACATATGTATGTATATGGTCAGATCCCAATATCGCCAGACCTATCTTATTTTCGAATTAACCAAATTTATGGAATAAGCAGTGGTATGTGAAGGTAAGAAAGCATGAGTATCGGCTTGCTTGGGGAGGCGGCTCTTTTTGTGGTATCAGGTGTGAAAGGTACGCAAACACGTTACTTACCTATGTTAAATTCGAAACGCTGGTTTTTAGATATGTTTTAGAGAATATTGTTAAAAATCAATATTCAATATGGCCAGACACTTTTCATGAGCGGTTACTTTCGCCAGCGCTTTAAAGTTTTCAAAAGATTTAGGAAGCTATCGTATTTTCTCAGTGCCAAATTTTTATATAATACTAAGGGGACTATTTTAATATCATTTGTGAAAAGCCAGACCAATCCGATGGGCCGAACGTCCTCCCAGATGCTATAAAAGTTAATTTTTACAAGCCTTTATTTAACTCCACTTGTATGTACCCAATACACAAAAACGAGGGTGGCATCGTATCGAATTCGTGACGAACTCCAAAAAATAAATATCTCGAATATATTTTTCGGGCTCGTTTCGAATTCGAGGCGAGCTCGAGTAAATCAGTTTTCGCCAAAGATTTTTTGAAGTGAAACTTCTTAGGCGGCGGTATCGCAAAAACAGAGAGTGAAATTTTTAAAACTGAAAACGTTACATGAGTGAGAAGGAAGATATAGGTAGTATAGGGAAGGGGAAAAAAGAAATAAAGCGACGCATGACGGGTACGAGTACCTACATATTTATATACGTATGTTTGAATGCACGCGTATGAACGAACTCATTGCGCATTTCAGCTCCGCCGCTACCAAGCAATATATCGCACACCGTCTTCAAAAGAGTCACAACTCAAAATTTGGCATTTTTGAGATT